TGGTGGAATGTGGTACGAGGCTGCTGGCCCAGTGGTCTAAAATGCATACCACATGAAGAATCTTCACTTTGGATCCTTTGTGGTTGAAAGGACACATGATCAGTACTGTTGACTCACAAACATTTAACAGAGACTGTCCCTCACAGGGGAAATGGCTCCCAGTCAATGCGGTTGATGTTGGACTGCAGCTGACCCTATGTTTTCTTTCATCTTTCTGGTTAATCTCTGCCCCTGTTGTTTGCCCTAACCTCATCACAGACGGCTCTGTTTGTTTGGCCAAAGTTAATGTGGACTATGCACTCGTTGTTCTGTGAAAACTTAATTGCAGTTCAACCAAACGGTCCTCTCCCTTCATTTAAACAAGCTCTTTTTTTCCCACTGCTCACCATGTACATGGTCAGGGGGGATCAAAGCGTGTGGTAAGTAGGGATACAGGCTTGCAGGAGTGAGTGAGAAAACGCCAAGGGCTTTTTGATGTGTTGGAGCGTTTTCTCCACTAATAAGACGAAACTTCTCCAACCTGCTCATAATTTTAGAACACTTGGAAACACTAATAAATGGGAGCAAGGGCATTTCAGGCAGTTTTCTCAGACTTTTCCCTCTGCTTATTCATTTAAACCTCTAATTAAAATGCAAAGCGTTCTCATGGTCTTCTGGATTTGGTACTGCACTCTCGCACAGCCTCTGACTCCCTATCTCTGCTCCCTTTTTCTCCACTCCCCTGCCCCCCCTCGCTTTCCACCTCACCTAACTCCCTGCTCTCATACTCTCTCTGTCTGCCTTTGCTTCTTGTGATCAACACAATTTGACCTCTCACTTGGAAGAAGTGCACAGAATTTAATGGATTTTTTACAGTCTAATCTAACCAGTTCCCTCTTTATTGCTGTTTTGTACCCAGTGGACCTCATCTTTACCAGGCCTCCCCCCCACCCTTCCACCACCTCCTCCACCCTCGCACCAAGAAAATTAGTTCATCAGAATTCAAAATGTACTGCTGGCTAATTAAAGGAGTGTTAATTGAGTGTTCAAAATTGGGTACCCCCTTCACCAAACGCACACAGACAGACACACACACACATGTGTGCATACACACAAGCACACATGCAATCACAGTGACAGCACGGGGTACACCAAGGACGTTGCGCTTGGGGAGTTTCATGCCAATCAAAAATGGAGAGAAAGGAGAGTGCCCATCCTCCAAGTGAAATGGGATTTCTAGATCATATCATGGCCTACTGCAGCTCAGTCCGGCTCTGTGCTGCCATGTTATCCTATCCCAGCCTTGCTATCTCTGTCTGACCGCTGGAGAGTGTAACACTGCACAGATAGCCTCTCTCACTGCGTGCATCGTGCTAATGAGGGGTGGCATTTAGAGATGTGCTGCTCTGACACATGGGCATTGTGTGCCAGGCACTGGGTGATTAAGGACGAAGGTCAGCCCATTAATTGCCTCCCTGCCATCTCCGCTCCCTGGCGCGTGATCTCTCAGAACTAATGCATGTGTTTGCCTGAGCTTTTATCTCATCTCCAATGCAGTTCAATCATATGCTTGGTTTGTTTACATTCCTTTCATGTGAAAGTTTTTTTTCTTACTTATTGTAAAAGCAGCGTTAGCCCAGGTTCCCCCTGTTTTTGTACTATAAGATGTTTCATGTGCTTCTGAGTGCACATAGCCTCCTGCTCTCAGGAAGGGAAAAAGCATATTCTTCCATCCCCAGGGGAAATAATTAATCCTTACAAGGCTGTCGCATGTCGAAATGAAGCGAGTGTGAAGCATTTAGCCCAGGAGGCATTGCAGGCTGTCGCCCGCACAGGCACCTGTTGTTGTCCCTGCCCTACATTTCATGAGAGAGCGCTGAGCAGAGGATAACAACATGCTCCACTGATGGCAAATGAGACACACAACTGCAGATGCAGGTTTGTGTGTGTGTATATGTGTGAGTGTATGTTTTTGCCTTTTTTTCCCCCAGTTATCATGCATTGTGTTTGCATGCACGACCACTCAGGAGAGTGTGCACAGGTGCAGGAAACCCCCTACCTTATGAGGAGGTGAGGGCTCACACAAAGGAGGCAGTGTTGGCTGCTTCAGAGGATGTTTATCAGCTAGCACCATCTGTATGCTGCTGCTCATAGCTATGATCTAGTGCAGCCTAAACCAATAAGTCACAGAGCGCTAGCCTAAAAAGAGACTCTCTCCTTTAACCTCCATGTCCTCACTTATAGACTTACTGCTCTGGAGGAGAGAGATGTGGAGACCCTGCACATCAAACACAAAGTGTGTATAACAGCGTGTGTATGAGAGTGAAATTACACCTCGGTTTGTGGCCATACTTACTGTAATCAACTTTACTATAAAATTTATACCATGGAACTTTTTAAAGAGGAAGCTGGAATCAGAAGCATCCAGATGCTCATTTGCCTCCTCCTTCTCTTCTTCCTTTATGCCTGTGGGTTCTAATAACCGGAAGCCTTTGTGGAGCTGAGATGGGTTTTGTAGGCCTGAAAGGCCTCTAATCCCTGTGGCCTGTGAAGTGTGAAACCCTTTGATGCCAGGTTGGTGTGCCAAAGGCTCTGCCTATTGACAAACAAGGGCCAAGCTGGGAAAAGACGGAGGGAGAGGGCTTTCTCGTCTCACTCAGAAGAAATGTAGGCTCAGGCATGGAAAATATGGACTCAGTCAGTGAGAAGGAATAGAATTAGCCACCCTTTAATGAATTTCCTGGCTGTTTTATAGTTTTTTTCCTCATGTGGCAGTAATTAGGTGGAATGATGGGCATATTGCAGCTGGGGGCTTGTAGGGGCGGCAGGGCACAGGCCCTTGATATGCCTGAAAGCCAAGTATCTTTCCTCATTTAGACCATGTGATGATCAAAGACAGGGTTTTTTTGCCCTCATGTAAAGAAGATCAGAAAAAATGCTGCCATTCCATTTGCATGTGGATCAGCAATGTGCTTTGAAATGAGCATGTTTTTCTCTTCTGAGCAAATGAAATAAGTCTTCTGTCAGTTTTCCACTGCAAGTCAGAACATCAAAGCAAATGGCACTGCTGTCACCAGGGAAGCTGAGCTTTGCCTCAGTAAGGTTGGTTAGATCGTAGATTGGCTGGCCTGGCACACTCAGCCTAGCCCATTAGGATGGCACCAGGTTCCCCCGCTCTGATTACAACAAAGTCATTAAAGCCAGGCTATTTTTACAAATTTAAATTGTAGTGTTTCTGATTTAGAAAGCATGCTGTCTGCAGGACGAATCAAACTGACTGACAAACTGAATAGGTCTTGCACTAAATTTGGCTTGGGATATTCTCAGTCTCTCCCCTCTGCTGTTAAATTCCCAATTTATTTCTTTTATGATATGGATCTTGTAGATTTAATCATTTTCACAGTTGGAGACCCATAGGGTTGTTGAAATGAACTCCCCATGCTATCTGTAATGGGAGCAAAGAAATGAGAATTGTGACTACTTGGCTGTGGAGTCTCTTTAAAATGATTTTGCAATCGGAAAGGAAATGGAGTGAGTCCTAGTCACAGCCTGCACCCTGCAGACTCCTTAGGTCGCCAGGACATTTGCTGACGGCACAGTTATGGCAGTTAATTTTTGTGCGTTTTGTTAGCTTTTGCATAAAAATGTCATTTTTGAAGGGGTTGCAAGTCATTTGTGGCAGCTGATATATTGCTTGTAAATTGAGTTCTTTTCCCAACCCCCCACCCTTTTTGTTACACTGAGCTAAGTAGCCATGAAATTGCCTGAATAATGTCGTTTAAATCCAATCTCACCGCAGCCCCTCACCTCCATGCCCAGCCCCCAAACAATGACACATGGTAGGGTTTTTAGAAATTGCCATTTTCCTGTTTGCCACCTCGATTCACAATGGCCAAGCCTTGGCTCATTGAGCGAGGGCCATTGCTAGTCTCACTCGCCACGTTCACTGCTGAATTGAATTTTGGGATTGGATTGGTTTCATATGGCAAACTGTACACAGCATTTGCATTTCATGTATATTTATAGGTATAGTCTGTACCTGTCTTTTGTCTGTTCTGCCATGTATTATTCTGTAAAATAATCTATATTACATGAAAAAAAAGCCATCTTTTGCTAGTCTCAATTATTCGATCTCACCAATAATGTGTCTTTTTTAAATGCTTTTCAGCATGAGTTAATTTGCAAACCAATTTTTCAGTTTTATCCTTGACTAAGTTTGCAAATAGCAGCGCTCCATATTCTTGACTTGACTCTGGTCTGACATAGTTAACCTTAACCAGGCTAGTAATTCCCCATCGATGTTTAATTGTTTTTTGTGATGGCCTCTTCGCGTACTCCTGGATTGAATAAATGTGGAAATTCTGTGGCCAAGGGTAAGACCCAGTAAGTGATACCACTTATAAATCTCAAATGTGCCACTGCAATTAAACAAGCTTTTATCCCCTCCCTTCGTCCCTCCTTGCCTGGTATCCAAGGCTAACCCAATTCAATGCTAAAGAGAGTCCGAATTAATTTCACAATGGACTGATTTAACAGCGCCTAAGGTACCAGGCTTTGACAGAATGAGTTTTTAAAAAGATCCATTTGTCTAGGGATGAACTTCCACAGGAGGGTGTGAAAATGAGATGGAAAGAAAGCTCAAATGGAGGAGGGGAGTGATGGAACATAAATGAATGTCAGCCCTGATTTACAATTTGCAAACTCTAAAGGGTGGTTCTGCTGTGTGTCTACTGTTTGCACCTGGTTTTTATTCACATGCTCTTGTAGGACGCTGATATTTTTCAGTCTGCTTCAAATGTAGTCACCGTAGTGCTGCCAGGTTTTACTGTTGCAGCAGAGTAGTGGTTATTGCAATTGATTGATTGATCTGACTTTGTGGCTGCCATTGCTGTCGGCTCCTTTGATATTTCTGATAATTAAACCCATAGTCTGCTGTTCTGTTCTCCTACACATGCAGCCCTCTGTGTTTTTTATCTCAATCATTCATTTCTCTCATACTTTTCTCTCTGTTTGTCTTGCAGGTGAACTGGTGGTACCGACACATTCCCCACGCTACCCCACCGCGGCAGAACTTGATGCCTACGCTCAGAAGACAGCCAATAGCCCTCTGTCCATCAAGATCTTCCCCACCAACATCAGGGTTCCCCAGCACAAGCACCTTAACCGGACTGTGAATGGATATGACACCACAGGGCAACGCTATAGTCCCTACCCACATATCCATACAGGGGGCTACCATGGCCTGCTTGCCATCGTCAAGGCCTCCTCATCCTCGTCATCATCATCATCCACCTTTATCCCTTCAAAAGGTGTTCTCAAGAACTCCGAAGGCAGACGGACTAAGCTCTCTCCAGCCCACATAGCTGTTGCCCCGTACCCACCCCCTAGTAGTAGCACTTTAGCCAGTGGCCACGGCCAAATGGTATACCACACTGGGCCCTCAAAGCCTCCAGAAGGCCCTGGACTGTCGGTTCCTCCAAATGTCACTGTAGCTGGCTCAGTGATTCCTGTAACAGGGGGCCGAGGCCTGGCCCTGCCCGCACAGTCCAACCTCCCCTCCATCCAGAGCATCATCTACCAGATCAACCAGCATTGCCAGGCCCAGGCTCTGCAGCAGGTGTGCCAAGGGGCTGCCACTGCACCGTCAAATTCCAGCCCCTCCAAACAGGGCACAACTGTCATGGGGCTCTCTTCTAGCTCCTCAGGTGGAGGCTACGTGGTAGGAATGGGTCCCCAGGCTAATATGGTGTACACAGGGCCTGGGTTGCCCACTCAAAATGCAGAGGCGATGAAGACTGGTGTGTACACAGATGGTATGGACTATATCCTTTGGCAGAAGCAGCAACAACAACAACAGCAGCAGCAGCAACAGGCTGTGCTCCGTATGTACAGTGGAGGTAGCGGAGGAGGTGGCGCCATTAGCAAGTCCCCCGAAACTTGTGTTCCAGGGGGCGGGATTATGGCAGCCCAGGTGTCCTCCTCTTCCTCCAGACCTTACCACCTGACAGCGAGTGCCAGCGGAGGAGGCGGGATGGACAAAGTCAGCTCTTCCCCTTTGAACTGCGTGGGTATGCATGGAAATTTCTCAGTGGGTCAATACTTTGCCCCGCCGTGGAACAGTGTGCTGGTGACACCTGATAGTGACTGCTACAACCCCCAGGAGCTTTTGGGCACCTCTACAGGAGGGCCAGCCACGGGGCACAGAGAGATGGGTTACCCCCATCACCATCACCTCTACCACCACCATCATCATCATCACCCTGCTATAGACAGCGGGGGAGGTTTGTGCTGCAGTCTGCCCAGCAAGAGCTTGTGCAACACGTCTGTGCTGAGCAGCAGCTTGCAGTCTCTGGAGTACCTGATCAACGACATCCACCCACCCTGCATCAAGGAGCAGATGCTTGGCAAAGGCTACGAGACTGTGTCTGTGCCACGTCTGTTAGACCACCAGCATGCACACATCCGCCTCCCAGTTTACAGATAGAGCGGGAAGAAGAGGAAGAAGAGAATCAAGAGTTGTGAATTTGTGAAGAAAATCAAAGTTAAAGAACAGAAATGTTTTTCTGGGTACAGATTGTTGAGAGTGGCACTGCTTTAACTAGTGTGGGAGCTTAGAGAAGAGCAGTTGTTGTGCTGTGTGAACCTAGGTTTGGTGGTTTCAAGGCAGGCTGTGGGAATCCCAAATATGAAAGGTGGTAGTGATTGCCAGTGGGAGAGAAAAGGGATTTCAAGATTCTCCAGATGTTCCATTGTGTGGTTTGCCAATAGGAATTTTGGATTGGTTTATTTTTTTTCTTCTGTTTTTTGTTGTTTTACTTGCCTGAACATTTTTGATGAGAATCATAGGTTGACATGAAGTGCATACGCCACTTGTATCCCCCTTCCAAATACTAAGGATGAAGCTACTGTGTAGGTTGTCACTGAAATGGTCTTAAAATGGCCGACGTTTAGGGCTGCTCTCAAGGTCCAAAACTCTGTAACAGTACACACATAAACACACACGACAGACAAACACATACAAATACACACAAATGTACTGATACATGAGGAGCCTAAATTACTGGCAGTACTCGGCTGGGTATGTACAAGGATCATAAGGTTGAATAAAAAGGATAGTACAATATTAGTTAATATTGCTGTTATAATTGATACATAAATTGCACTGCTTGAATCTTGTTAACTTTAAAGTTTGGAATTGGGTAGTTTGGATATGATATATTTAAGAAACTTGAAAAACTTGAACCTATTTTTTGTTGTTTTATATATTTGTAGGTATATTATATGCATCGGCTGCTATGGGGAAAAGTGTCTCAATTGCTTTTTTTATTTTATTCTTTTCCACTTTTGTTTTTATGATTTAATAATTCCTCCTCAAGCTGATGTGCAGTTTCTTATGTCCTGGTGTGAGGCATAGTCGCTGCTTTGGTTCTGTAAGAACCTGGTCGGAGAGCTCTTTTTCCTAACCAACACTGGAATCTACAATAAATCTTGAAATACTTATTTAAAAAGAAAATGTCGCAAAAAAATACAAGAAAAAGAAATGTTACAATGAAGAATGTGATTGGGAGGTTATCTACATAACCTTACGTGTATGTTTATGCGTGTATGTGGCTGAGTGCATGCGCGTGTGTGCATTTTAGTTTGTGTTCTTCAAAATCCTCAGACTTTTTTTCTTTTTCTTTTTTTTAAAATTGTGTCATTACAAGATTTCTACCACCAAGACTGAGAAACTGATTCACCAGTCCCATGAACCTCATATCTGAGTAATGTACAGGAGATATTTTGCAAATCTTGCTCCCTTTTTATTAGAGGCTTTAGATATTCTCTGGAGCTAGAGTAGAGATCAAGTTCTCACATGACTTCTGTAGTTACAGTTCTACATCCCCTACTTCTGTCAAATGTTATCATAATGGCAGATGGAGGTGGGAACACATGGAAGTCCTATTTTGGGGGTACTATTCACCCCTAATCCTGCAAACAAAAACAAAATGAAAACAATCATGCCCTGTCCTCTGGCATCAGATGGAATGAGACAAGGCTTGCTGCTTTTCCTTGTCCATTTCAGCCCCTGGTTGGGATGCATTTAGCCTGGGCCAGTCTTAACTTTATGATTCAGAGCAGTGAAATATTTATTATGACTGTGAGATTCCCTTGAATGTACTGCACTTAAATTACTGCAATGTTTTATTGCCTTGTGGGACTCAAGTGAAAGAGAAAAATTGGATCAGTGCAGCAGTCCTCTGGTCTTAAATTAGCATTTCTTTTGTCTGTCAAATTTAAATGGTAAATTGAATTTAGTAACTGGAGAGAGAGAGACGGAGCTTTGTTGTGGGGAAATACTGGCATCAGTCTAGATTTATGAAGTGCAATTATTATGACTGTATTAACATTTTTCTCTGAGCTTACACCAAAAAATGTAAACTACAGTTGTCAATACATTCCCAATGTACCACATCCCTAATCCCTATCCTTTTTTGTTTTGAGGTGTAAAATAAATTTCTTTAAGAATATATTCAGTAGCCACATCTTGGCTTTGAAGTCTGTCATTATTTTTTAACGTATGTCCTCTAGAAGTCAGTGGGAAATTGGACCCTTGTTCCAGCAGCTCTGTGAGATCCAGAATGGAGCGTGACGTGTGATGTAGATCATTTACTGTACTGTAGTGAGAACACCATCGAATTGATCATCTTTTAAATGTTTACACTTTGGTCACCCAAAGATAGGGGACAGACAGCATTGCTGAAATAAGAAAGGATTTACTCGTGAATACTGAGGATGAAAAGCAGGAAATAATGTTTTTTTTAATCATTTTCGCTCCATAATTAGACCTGTTATTTCTTTTAAGATAACCCTTGCTTAATCTAAACTACAAGCCTTAAATTTTGAGCTAATGGTGTTTGTAGACACGCTACTGTGTTTGAAGGCTGACAAAGATTTCAGTCGAAAGAATACCAAGCCCCTTGGCTTAAATTTGCACAGTAAGCCTCCTTAACATTCCAGTGAAAATTTTTCATGTTGTTTCAACAGCTTAATACCCCAGCCACAGTGTGATTCCAGCATATTTTCTGTCTTGTAGAAATATTTTGACAGATTTACAGATACATCCCGTCCCTAAATCCCCTCCGTTTGGCTTCTGCATCCAAGCATTAAACCCTGTCACATGATGTTGAAGTGAAGAGGAGACACTTGAGGCAGTGGAGTTTCTGGTGTCTGGCCTTTCCCACCAGTGGAGGTCTGAGGCACCAGGCCTCTCTGCTAATGGGAATATTGGGTGACGCCTGGCTGCTGGACACTGCCAGTGGAGAGTATTCATTCACTCAAAGGGTTGAAATCAAACCCTTTTCAAATAGCAAGGGATTTCCTATTAGGTACTGAAAGGAATCTGGCCATTTTGAGCCAAGTTCAACTGAATAAAACAGAGAAACAATGACAGAAAATGAAGCGAGATTCTTTTTTTAGCAGAAATGTTTAAGTTAATTTAAGTTAAAATGTTGTATGGTGGTGTTTAGCTTCTTTTACCATCTTTGCTTTGTGGCTGCATTTTCTACAGTACAGGCTCCCAACTGTCTGTCTGCCTGGTCCTTTCCACACATTAATGAGCTCCTATTGATGGGATGCATCTTAGCCCTGCAACTTTGGTCCATTCCACAATTCCCGATTTGGACAATGGACGCTTAGCCCATATTAGGATAATAGAATTAAATTTCAAATAGATTTGTGCCTGAGCTGATCCATGCACGGCTCACTCAGCTGCAGAGGCAGAGTGGCATATGGCATGTCATTATCTAAGCCCACCCTCCCCCTGTCCGGGGCCAACAGGGTTCAGCAGTGCTTAAACAAACTGAAGGTTAGGACTGGCTGGCTGGCGTTGAAGGGGAGGACAGCAGGGGGGTGGTGGTGTGTGTGGGGGGGTTGCTAAATCACAGCCTCCACAGCGTCTCAGAGGGCCTCAGCACCGCACCATGGCGCCCGGGCTCAGAGGCCTGCTTTAAAAGCTGGGCTGTGTTTGATCGAGGGGATTTGTTTTCTGTTGGATTATACATGGTTGCTCCCTGCCTGGCTGAGGGGCCCGGTGCAATGTGACAGATCTCAGCAAAAGACAGAAAGAGGGAGAGAGATACAGGGAGGGATTTTGGGGTCAGAAAAGCCTCGAAGCATCAGTAATCAGGATAATTGCCATGTTCCTGGTGCTGGTTTCAGCCTCCCCTCTTTGGCTCTGCGGCCTCATATTCAGATTCAAGCTCTGAGGAAATCACATTCCCCACTGAAAGACTTATCGTGCCTCAATTTACTAAATTCTAGTAAGTGAAATCTTCATTTGTAATTACGTTTTTAATGCTTGGAAAAATATTTCAAGTTATGTTGTCCAGGAAAGGATAAATTAGACCATTCAACCCATCTGAATGAGGACATTTAGATCTATAACTTATCTCTGTGGCTACAGACTATTGACTGTTAACACGTTTTCAAGGGCAATGAGACGCTTACGAGGATGGCCTGAGGGCAAAGTGGACGGAAATTGACTTATGCTGGTTGAAAAAAATCCCTTAGTAAATCCCAATAAGTCCATGAAGACCTTTACCCAGTGCAAAGGTCTAGTCGCATATTATGCACCTTAAATACTGCTGAGAAGGTAGGAGAGGACCCATTCAAAGCAGGGTCAGCTCTTTCACTCTCACAACAGAGGGGACGGGAGGGGACAGAGAGGGATAGAGAAAATAAAGGCAGCTGCTCGCTCTGTAGAGTCTTGGCGCTGCTTCTCTAACATACAGATGACAGAGGGAGGTGGAGGGGGGGTGGTGACGTCCCCTCCACACCGCTTTGGTCAACCTCAGCCATGTCCCCTGGCTGCCCTTGGGCCCCTGGGGCTCTCATCTCCGAGTCCTTCCCAGCATCCCTCCTTAACGTCTGCAGAAGATAAAGTCAGGAGGCCAGTCCTCTCCATTTGGCTCCTACCTAGCAAGAAGATACTTTAATCAATAATACAGATGGTCCTGAGGAGGCTTGTATAGTTAACCCACCAGCCTTATAGCTGTATTGCACAATGTCATTAAACAATTGTTGTGTTTTGCCACAGAGTTAGAGCACATTGCCATTTCTTTAGTGCTACTGAATAAAACTGGGATGGGTTGCGTGGAAGCGCCATACAATTTAAATGTAGTTTTAAGCATTTATTAAACACAACACAAGGTAAAGATCAGCACAGCTCACAAAATAAATCAGGATCTTTTTTCCAAAGGCACAGCCCCAGAGCTCTTTTCTGAAAGGCAATGCAGGAGGTTGTTACAGCTTTTTTATTTCTTCAGCAACATAACTATGTATGTTCAGCTGAAAAAGCTTATGGCCTCCAAATATTCATCTAGTTTATGTGGTGGGTATATTTCTGTATCCAATCTAAACACAAAAGTCTGGGGATTTTGCTTTTTTTCTTCCTGTTTCCTTTTACTGTTTGTGTGGCTCTGTTCCTGTGGACAAACAGGGCTGTTTTTCCTGAATGATCTCAAATGCACCAACGCTTCCAAAGTCTGAGGGTGCCGCAACCTTGAGAAAATCATATATATGGAAATGGGAAATCTATAAAGCATCTCTCTTATTGTTCTCCCTGCAGTGTTGTATTTATGTTTTAAAAATGATTTTGTCTCCTCAGGATGAAAAAATGTAAAGAATACCTTGCTTTTTTTGAAAATGATAATATATGAGTCTTAGATTTCGAAATAAGAAGTCTGAATATAAAAAAAGCTGTAAAATCCTTTAGTCGTGGGGTTTTCAACTTTTGAATGTGCCTACAGCCAAGCATCCCAGTGATTGCTTACCTTCTACCCACTCTCCAGTTCTGCAATCTCCCCCTAATCTGCCCACAACCATCATCTTCAATTTGCTGAAACTGCCACTGTCCCCCCTCCATTCCAACAACCACAGTAGATATTTTGTCTGTTCCCTGCTTTTTGTCAATCTCAGGACTGAAATTTCTTTATTTTAATGTAGATGGTTGGTTTTCATTTGACCTCTCCTCTCTTATGTATTATTGTTTGACATAAGTAAATAAAGCAGATGACTTCTATGCCTGTCTTGTTGCTCTCATATACAGCAGACCCCTCTGTCTTTCTTCTTCTTCTCTCTCTCTCTCTCTTCCTGTAAACATCTTAAACTATTCTTAAGACTCTGGACGAGGCCTTACTGTAATGAAGGTAAGCATATTAGTCTAAGGATTCACCTTGCACATCACCGCCATATGCCGGCCTCTTACAGTCACTTGACCTTTTTCACCTTTGCAACAGTATATTGTGGCATCACTAAGGCCTCACAGTTTATGAAAGATGTCTCTTTTGTGCCATCTTTGGGTAACAGCCTCACCCTGGGTGAACTAGCAAGAAAGAAAGAAAAAAAGGTGCACAGTACCCTTTTTTACTGTGGGAATTATTGACTTTTTTCCTGGATGAAGAATGGGAGAAACTGATCTTAAGCAAGTCTCTTTACATGCAATTTACCAAAGCGGCGAAGACATGACGTCCTCTGAAGCCTGGGCTTAAAGCCACACAATAAGGGAATATCAGCTGTCTCAAATAAACTGTATTTTTAATATATTTTTTGGGGTCCGGGGGGCTTTTTATCACCTTGAGTGACAGGAAAGTGGGGAGAGAGAGGGGGGATGACATGCAGAAAAGGTCTACAGGTTGGAACCGAACCCAGGCTGCTGTGTTAACGACTCAGCCTTTGTACATGGGGAGGAACCTCAACCAGGTGAGCTTCTGAGGCGCCCCAAAAAAACATTTTTCTGAACCTAAATCGTTACAAATCAAACCACAGCCACTAATCTTTGTGTCTGACTGCAGCTCACACCCCTACACCTCCTCTAAAAATACACCAAAATAACAGACAAACTACATTAGTACTTTATATCTGCATTGTATTTGATTTTCCTTATTGATAGTCTATATTTGAATTGCAAGCTATAAAAAATTTAAATATATATATATATATAAATATAAAAGGATTTTGCCAGCACGGCGTGGTCTTTGTCCACTTTCTGAAGATAAGGAACACAACGTACACCCAATCTAAATGTTTAACAACACAGGTATCTTCAAGAACTCAATATTGACGTATTTTCCTCCTTTCTCTCCTCACTCCCAACCTCTCCACCCACCTAAAACATCAGATAAGCCGTAGACTGATGAGCCAGCCGCCTCCACCAGAGCGTGTGGTACTGGGAGACTGCACACTGATTTCATACACGCTCGCTCAGACAGAAAAAGAGCTCTGTGGAGCAGAAATGCTTCTCTTATTAGCAAAACTCATTCACCTGCACGCCACATTGAGTCCATGGCAATTTCACAATAAATCATGAGAGATGCCTATAGAGGCCGGGCAGCAGGCTGACGCTTTGCTGTGGCCGTGCCCTCGCCTGTCAGTTTAGACACTCTGAATCATTTCGGGTTCAGCTCCCTCGTTTCATCTTAGATGAACTGAAAGGTCATCTCACACGCCACCTAACCAATATGTCTCTGGCTCCTCATCTCCCAGTGCTTCCAGTGATTGCTCATTCCATTTAGAAATACCACACCTTGGTGAAATATTTCACTGGGGATTTTGGAAAGAATTTCAAGGAATTATTGCAAGGCAGAAAATTAGCACTGACTAAAACCTGTGAGAAACCTGCTCCAGGAGTTGTCTTTTTGGTCTTAAACTGACTTTATCTTTTATCCTGGAGAATCATTCAGCAGTGATCCGTCCACCTCTTTTGCAATATTAGTTGGTTAAATGATGAATGAGAGTGTAACCTATATGCAGGGAGGTTTCCCTCTCTGTATCATAGGTTACACTCTGGCTTGCTGACAATGAATGTTGCACTTGAAGCCATCAGACAGTCTGGAGTGTTGTTTAGTGAATAAAGAATGAGTTGGCCCAAGTCCAACCCAGTAACCACCTGAGACTCATCAGCCTAAACACCTTAAAGCTTAACTGGCTGGACAATAGCTGAACAATTTGTACTGCCAATATCTAAGCTAGTTAGTTTACTTAAGACCTTTGGCTGAGGCTGTCGACTTTCCCTTATGCGCGGTTACTAAATGAGGGCCGTTACACCATGATCCTGTTTGGCTGTCACTTGGTTTGTTGAGACACATTTGTGGCAGCGAGCACACACATGCTGCAAGCGAGTGAGCCATTTTGTTAACAGCTCACACTTCCTGTGCAAGTGTGCGGTTCCAGAGTTGCTGACAGTGACACTTGCAGGACCGAGCCCTGCCCTACTTAACAGGCTGCAGGGAGGAGGGCAGGCCAAGTTGTCAGCAGCGCTAGGTGCTCACTGCTTAGATAAACCTGGAGGATTAGTGGCCCAGTTAAAGTTGGGGCAAAGAGGATTAGCCTCTTCTCTGAGGTGGTGAGAGATTCCCCGTGTCCTTCAGCGCTGCCGGCCTCAGAGAGGGGAGAGAGGAGGAGGAGGATGGGAGGTGAGGTGAGGGGTGAGGCCCTAGTTATCATGTGTGAGAATCACCACTGTAACATTTTAAAGAGGAAACGGAAAGGTGAGGTGTAATGATGAAAGGTGAAAGGAAATGAAGCAGTTCATAAATTGTTGCCAGCTTGTGGTTTCATTATGAAGGCAAAAGCCCATAATTACTGGTCCGGGTGTTACAGCGAGGTCAACGAGACCTGAGATCTGCAGGAACAAAATACTTCATAAGTGGACTGCATTCAACAAACTATAACCTATTATAGTAATAATAGTTAGCACTGGCAATGCAATATTTACAACTATAATTAAAAAAGAAATCTGTGCCCTACAGTAACTGCTGGAGTAGACACTACATAAGTCTGCCTCAGCTGAGATCTCTACATGAAGCACAGCACAGGAATTTAGACCTCTGCAGCCATCAGCAGGTCAGAGAAGGGACTGCAGAGGATGATTCACTGATGAAGACCGAACAGAGCTCAAAATCCTTGTAATGAGTTTTTTGGAATTAGGTTTAATGTGGAGTGTAGTGAATGTACATTTTGTAAGGAATGCACCAAAAACTTTTTTTAATGTCATCAAAGCCTCCTGAGAAAGATTATAAATGTAATTCTTGTCTTCTAGTATGGTGATGTAAAATGTGAGTTTTCAAAGACTGACAGAACAATATTGTGAGATTCTATGAACATAAATGTAGATATTTAAAGAATATCTTTCCTGTTGAAGCACAAATGGAGACATAAGACAAAACCAGATTTAAAAAGCCCACAAATATCTTTTTTATTTAAAATATTCTTTCTTTCTTCGTTTTTATAGGTTATGTGTTCAGCACTTCCTCAAATGTGTTAATCATCGTTCCTTCCCTCACACATAAATATGGGACACTGGTGTCTCTTCACAGAGCTTCCATTGAAGCTAAAAAATCATAAAAATAGTATTAATAAAAATTAAATAACTTCTGGCCTATTAGCAGTACAAATTGTAAAGCATTTTCAGAAACTCTATGCAGGAATCACAAGACAAGACTACTGTATGGTTTATAAAATAAATTCAGTGTTTATTGTTCTTTGCAGCAATGTACAAACAATATAAAAATGCATAGACATGTCTCTTTAATAAAGCAATGTAAACATAGTGAATAATGACCTGTGACCTTCAACAGTAATGAATTAATGAAATTGTGGAGTCTATCTGCTCTTAATCAAGCCCTGCTATTTAGTACAATAACACAAATACATGCATGTATACAGTAGTTGCGCATAAACAATATGCTATATAGGGCAAGGAGCCAATTGTATTGAAAACACTGCAGCAAATAGGGGGAAGCACATAATGGCAAGGCCTGAGAGTTGATTATGCAAATACCCCAGCTGCAAAGGAACAATAACTCTGGAAATTCAAAGACAAACCATAACACGGAAAGCTATTGTCTCGCATTTGCATATTTGCTTGACAACTATAACCTGCTCATCATGCCCATCTTGCTCAGAACAATGTCTTTGTGTTCATATAATAATGCACACATCAGAAATTGTCATAGTGCATTGTTTCAGTTCATATGAAAGCTGTGCTGCCCGAGCTGGCAGTCCAAGCCTGACACTTTCATAGTTTTGAAACTATTTTAATAACATAGTATAGAAAATGGAGAGAAATATATACTTTATAAAATAGATATATCCTGTTTACACTGAATCCCCAATGGCCTGAACTATAAACATTCAAATCAGCATTAAACAGCATAATCGTATAGAAAGTTCTTAAATAAAAAGCAAGCAAATAAAAAACTGATTATATTCTAAAAGTCTGTGAATATTAATTACAATGTTTTTCTCCCATTGTGATTATGTCTGTAGATGGCTTTTCTTTACACTGCTAATGCAATACTACTGTAATAATGCTTCTGCTGGCTATTAGATAATATATGATTCTGTTTGTGTAACACTACAATGGGCTGTGAATGCTAACATATTTTGACTCTCTTAAATCCCTGAGTGATCAGCCACTGATGTCTGAAATGTACAGTACATTTTTCTTCTATTCATATGTGACAAGTAAAAACAAATTGCAGCTCACTGTGTCATTAATTCTTGTCTCAGGGTTAGTGTTTTTAACTCTATTTAGTGTCTCTGTGCTCAGCCCTCTCTATCCTATTACACTGGCTGTCTTACTGTAATATTTACTATGATTTCTCTGAACAGAAGACACATGAGATCTGTGCAAATGAGTACACTTATTGGCCAAATCGTCCCCTGCAGAGTGATCTCACTGATGCTGATGGCTCTCTGCCGTCTCCTTATAAGAAGGACAGCACCAGTCATGTGCAGGCGTCAGTGCCTGGGCGTCAGCGGCTCCATCTCTAGCACCAGATCACGAGGCCGCGGACCTTTACTTAACTCCACTGCCCGCGGGACTACTGTGGACCAGCGGTCTGGAGGGGGATAAAAAGAAGAAGGATTTTCTTTTATCCGTATGAATAAGTTCCATGAATATATACTTATTTGTCTATGAATTTATTCATAAGAGCACAGTGAGAATCTCACCTCTCCTCAAGGCTCTGACGCTCTGCTGCAACCCATTGGCTTGGCAGGTCTCATTCTTGCCAGGATCCTCGTTGATTATCGCCAGGTTCTGATTCCAGTGGCACCAGTTCACCTCATCCACCCTGACATAACAAGACATCATTGGGATTGACATTTTCCTTTGAAGTGGCAATGGCACTGCTGAGTGACTGTGATTATGAGTGAAAAATACCTGAAGCACCAGCGTCTGTCAGGCGTGCCATCCCAATTCTTCCCCACAGTCACCATCTCCCCGGCTCGAAAAGACTTGCGAAGGCAGACTGGGAAAGAGCGCTCGATGTCCAAGATGGTCGTTGCCCACTGTTAGTATACGTTATATTAACACATTTAATTTGTATATTTAAGCCACTCAAATAACAAACCTCTTGTGGTAACTACCCATACAGATAGTTTTGGTTGTGAGATATCCATCTTTGAGATTTCTGCCTCCAACCAAAGTTAAAAAACAACCTTCAACAACTTCTGGATGGATTTCCATGAAATTTGCTCCAGATAACTATGGTGCCTAGAGGGTGAATCCTGATGACTTTCGTTGATTGCTTAACTTTTCCTCTAATGCCACCATGAGGGTGACATTTGTGCTTTTAAAGGAAACATGAGTATGTTAACCAACTCAAAGGGAAAATGCTAACGTGCTGATGTTAGCAGGTCTAATATTTATCATGGTAACCATCTCAGTTTGGTGGGTTGCATGCACACTGATGGGAATGTCATTAGTTTTTTAATTAACTAAACTGAGTAATAAACCAAAGATAAACAGTTATGGGATTACCAAAGTGATGCACTGTGAGGGGCATATGAATGCTTTTAATGTATGTTTACTCAGTGAGTGAGTCAAAGTACAAGCCGTGGCTGCAGGAAAATGTAATTTTTCATAACTGTAAGTACCACAAACTAAATTTGTTTCACCTCTTATGTGTTTTGGTGGCTGCCGACATCTCAAAACCTGGTAAAAATATACTATATAATAAATATAAATAAATTGGGCATCAGATCATATTTCACTGACACTGCCGACTACAAACAGTTCACCTGCTCACCTGAAGCTTCCAGATCTTTTTGCTCTCCTTCGACACCTGTCCCACCGTCTCCCCCATCAAAGCGATCAACATGTTCAGCAGCAGCACGAAGGTGAGGATGATGTAGGTTACCAACAGGATGAGGAAGACTGCAGGGTACTGTGCACTGTGGATCATGTCCAGGTCTCCCATCCCGATGGTGAGCTTAAAGAGGTCCAGTAGGAAAGTACTGAAGGTGTCTGGGTCCCTGCAGTTGGGGTAGGTGGGGCAGCCCCCGTCACACTCTGTGCCCAGTGGAGGACACACTGTCAGCAGAGACACCAGGGCTGCGGGGTGGAAACAGAGGAGGTTGGATTAGGTGTTTGTGAGCACTTAAAGGCATAGTTCGGCATTTTGGAAAATATGCTTATTTGCTTTCTTGCCGAAAGTTGATGAGGAGATTTACACCATTCTCACATCTGTCGGTTAAATATCAAACTACAGCCAGGAGACGGTTAGCTTAGCATAAAGACTGGAAGGAAGGGGCAATAGTGTGGCACATAACCGCAAAAAAACACAGCAATTGACAATTTTACACTACAGTTTTCATACAGATCAAACAGAAATAGCACATTGAAAAACAAACTTTAGAAGAACTGGAAGGCAAAAGTTGTTCCAATACCGATAACAGTATCAGCTACCAGCGAATATCAGGTGTTTATCAGGCCCGAAATGGGACCTTCAACTTCCCAGCAGTGTCCCGCTTGTCTTTTCCCAGGATAGTAAAGTCATGACCCGCCCTATTCTGAATCTGACTCTTACAACCTGACCTGAGCCAGGTCATACAAAGGGATATGTATTGAATTGGTACTTGTTATCAGCCCATATGCAAAAGTTCAGGTATCTGGATACATATCAGGAAGGAAAAAATTGCTCTGTACTTGGAACAGAGCCAGGGAACAGCCACTATAGCTAAGCATAAAGACTGGAAACAAGGGGAAACACCCTGTTAGTTTTAAGTTTACAGTTAGACATTGCGGTTAGCGTCTGGCTGTTGCTTTCTATTAATGTTAATGGCCTATATGAGAGTGTTATTGATTTCCCCTAATCTAACTGATAAGAGCAATTTAGTGTTTTTTACCAAAATGTCAAACTATACCTTTAAGTAATGCTGACATACCTGTAGAGATAGGTGACTATAAGCTTACCTGATGCATATCCAATCATGAAGAGCACGTACACCAGCAGAAATCGGAAAAGGTCCTTAAAAAGAATCTGAGAACCAAAAATAAAAGTAGTATGAAGACACATGGAGGGTTATGTTTAACGTTCATTCATTTTCTGTTGAGTTTTTCCGTTATCTAACCTTCTGTATCATGATGCTGTAGGTTCCAGTGAGCTTCAGTCCTCTGGTGAAGTAAAGAGTGTTCATCCAACCCAGGACAAGTGCAAACACCATCACGGACACATAAGCCTCAATGCCAGACAGGTAGAGAGCAGCGGTGACTACAATCAGTACAGAGTAGATAAAGCTAAAGAGGACAGAGAATTTTTTTTGTTAAGGAACCAACCAAGTCTGTGATACTGAGTGATACATGAAGGCAGGAAGATGTGACTGCTGGCATTTGGCAATTTAACAAAATGCAGACATCACAGCCATGTTGCTAATGATTTAAATCAACACAGTTAAGAGAGGTGCTCGACATTCTCCTCTTTGTTTGTATCATGGGCTTAATTAAAGATGTAAACTATAAAAAAAAAAAAACATGCCAGGGAGGAGGCTGAGGAATTAATTAGATGACTCAATTAAGAAGATGCAAAAGCTGCCTCGGGTAAATGTCAGCAAGAGCTACAGCAGAGGTGAGGATGAGGGGGAGCAAGGACAGAGGATAAAAACTTACTACAGCAGTTGAAAGGATCCATCAATAAATAAAGACTTCACCCCCTGGCACTTTTTCAAGAAGAGTTCTTTAATCTGCAAAGAGCAGGAGAAACATTTCCATATGACAACAAGCGCTGTCATTACAGGTTTGAGTTTGATGCAAGAAACTGGGAGACGGCAGTGAGACAACCAGTGACTGGATCTTGACTCACGTTGGTGAGGAAGAAGAAGATTCCCGATGCCAAGGTGACAATCTCTCCCGCCATACGCAGGTAGTCAGAGGATGTTGTGTAGGGGTACGGAGGCTGGAAAGAAAGGAAGACGAGAGTTATTAGTAACATTCATTACATTTAGATTCAACTCAATCCAAACATCTTAGACATCTTAAAATATGAAATATACACAAAATACACCGTATGGACAAATATCAGTTGATAAGACCAAATAGTTAGTTAAAGGATTAGTTTGACATGTTGAGAACTACACCTGCTGTCATGCAGAGTTAGATGAGAAGAATAATGCAACATCCATTAGCCAGGTAGCTTATCTTAGTATTAGCAGCTACCGTAAAAACGCAATTGTTATATTTTGGTTTGCGTACAGATTGAATAAATAAGATATAATGTGTTATAAAAACTCATTTTAAGTTAAAAAAAAAGATTTCTATATTATACACTAATAAAAACATAACTAGGAATACTATATTCCATTTCTTCCCATAGATCCTCCTAAATGTTACACACTGGGCCTTTAATACAGTGCAGTAAATGGTTTGGGATACAAATTTGCTGCTATGGTACATGATGCATTAACATTTCATGTGCATACAGCGATCTAATGTACAGCACACGTGGCCTACATAAAAAACCCAGTACATACTTATATACAAAATAAGCAAAAATTGAAATACCTGCTATGGTAAGAAATATATTAATGTCGTGTCGTGAAAATTCAGTGCTGCATGGGCACATTTGACACTTTCACATCATGAATCATTGATCAGTTCCCATGCGATCTGAAATGCTGTAAAAAAAAAAAAAAAAACGCCTCCTTTTTCAGTTTTATCTCACCCACCTTTCCCTGTGTTGGGTGGTAATAAGCCACTAGGGTGAAGATGATCATGGTGGTGAGGTAGGAAACCACGCTGATGTAAAAGGTGACAGCAGCAAACTTCTGCCATTTGGCCCTCAACAGCTCATTGATTGGCTCCACAGCCAGCATCTCATGGCGGTTCTGACAACAAGAGCACAAATACAACACTGATATGTTACGTAGTAAAAAATGATATAAAATAAAAACAGAATAGAGAATATTTTATTGATGCACCCACACACATTTTTATGTTATGCCTGTTGTGTTGTTTTGTTGTTCTTCACACTCTGATCTTGAGAGAAAGAATTTTTCATCTCAGCTGTATTTTCTTTTTATAGTTGGAATGACAAACTTGAACAAAATGTTCTTATCACCTCGTTGCGACTGTTGTAGACGAGGATTTCCAGCACAGATGGTTCCTCTCCGCACGTATCCAGTGAAGACAGATCATAGAGGGAGGAGTACACTGGCCCATAAGCCCAGTCCTTAAACTTACGTGACAAATGACGAACTTCCTCGTCTTTGATCTCACGCCGGATAATGTGCTGAAAAACCTGGAGGAATAGGAAGAAGCTGACCTACTGACATTTGACCTACAGTTAATATTATTACGGCCTGTAGAAATGTGATTATTCTTTTATTAGACTGTATGATACTTATGTATCATTATCCCTACCCCTATCTTGCCCAGCTTGGCGGCCATCATGAGTGGTGACATGCCATCATTGTTGAGCACTGTCTCCAGGCTGCAGTCTGGGTAGAGCTTGGCACTCTTGATTAGCAGCAGGTCGTACATCTTTGTGAGGAAACGCGTGTTGTCCTTGGTGTTGTCGGCGATGTGCACTAGGGCGTGCAGCACGGTGTTTCCACGTGAATCCTGGCGCCGCAGATCAGCCTTCTTGTGTGGATTCTCAGTCAGGTAGTGCACTATGGCAGGCTGGTTAGTGCATGCAGCCAATGAGAGAGGAAGCTCACCTGGGCCAACACAGAGAGAGAGAGACTCACTTCATACTGAATTCACAGGAGATTAAAGGAACTGTATTTAAGATTAAGAATAAGCAAATCAACAGGAGGGTTAATTAAGAACTGTAGCGTCTGTATGTTTTTGCGGAGCATACTAAACATGGATCAAAGATTTGACTTAAATCCCCGCTATGAAAACAGCACAATTAGCAGTTGTTTGAGGGAGGGGCGCAATGGGGCCAGAGTGCCAAAAGCAGCTGCTGAAAATGAACCGTTGCCATGGGTGACAGATTACTTTGTCACCTCACATAGAAACGCTCCTCTTCATGGATTTGCACGGGTGCATGCAGAGTGTTAGCGTGAGTCTAAATCCCATTAGCCATCAGCCCTGCCAGGTTCCTGTTCACCTCACTGCAAAGCTCCGCAGCAAATTACTCACACTGTGCCCGGACACGCTGGGATTTGGGAATGACAACCGTGCTAAGTGCAAATAGAAATCATCTCCTCTGTGATGAGTGAGGAGTATAACACATGAATGTAATCAAATAAACAATTCTTAAAATTCTTTGGTTGGGTGTAAAATAAACTGAAAATAACGAGACATTTCTACCTTTCTTTGAGTGCTTTTGGAGAGTTACATTAAAATCACTTATATGTGCTATAATTATCATTAGAGCAAAAGGACACAGTGTTATAAACACAACATATTTTTGTATGGTACCACATACTGTGATACAGGAGGTTGGGCCTTAACAAACACCAGCAGAGGGCAGTGTTGAGTTCAGTTTACAGGCTCTAATTTATTTACAGGTCAGTGAAGTGCTTCCCAGAGGAGGGTCAGCAGAGGATGTTTACTTTTATTCATGGCAGAACACTGACACCTTTCACTGGACGCGCCTCTCGAACATATGACATAATGCTTGTCTTTTCATGTGTTTTTGGAGCAACTAATGTCGGTTTCTCGTACGATTCTTGTCAAAACATTTGGGTAGACTAAAAGGTGGACTTCACTTCTGGACCACAGCAGTATCCTGAGTGTGTTTGGTCAGCAGAAACCTGCCACGTTAAAAAGAGAAAGGGTGGGGTTTAATATCACTTAATTTCTCTATGGCAGCGAAGGTTTCTTTGCCAGGTACCACGTGTTAGCTATTTTATCTTGGCAGCTGCATCCCAAAACTTTGATGTGAAAGGCAGAATAACCACTTGTGAGTAAAACAGAGAGTCAGTGCCAGTGTGGAAAGGGCGACCGGTGAAGTCATGGAAACCACAGACACACCACATCCTTACCACCATATGAGGCAGAAAGCACAGTAACAGTTTTCCAGAACTCTTGGTGTGACGTCTGCCTACGGTGTTTTATCACTTAAGGATGTAAGGTTTGCTAAAAACAGAAATACGGGAGCACAATGAACTCTTTTGTTTTCATACTAGATTTATGTGCTGACAAAAGTTCCTTACCAAAGTAGAAGTAGCCCCCCTCGTCTCTGGGCTGGAAGAAGCGTCCCCTCGCCTGAGCGTGGACATCAGCTCCCATCTCCACCAGCAGCTCCACATACTGCTTGCAGCGTCGCTCTATAGCAATGTGGAGCGCCGTCTGGCCTGACAACGCAGAAAAAAACACAACAATGCAGAAACATTTTAATTCCAAACTGATGATTTGTGTGCTGTGTTCAATTGAAAAAATATCAGCTGAAAGAATGTGTTTACCAAAATGTATAATTACTAAACTGACATGTATGGAGTTAATTATGTTGACAGTCATTCAGTGAGTGTAAAAGCACAGTTACACAAGAGAAATAGTTTCGACTCGTGCCATTTGTTTACTAGATTCTTTCTTTTGAGAAGCTGACGCCCTATTATGAACTTAAGGTCATAAAAAACTGACTATGCTAACTAAGCTATGAGGGGTATATTTATGTGCAGGTTATTTCTGTGGGGTCAAAACACGTAGAAACTGAGCCCTTAAACATTTTTATGTATGTTATTATGTTTTTATGTCACATAAACAGTGTGTCCTGCATTAGCAAAACAAGGTAAATTGGCAAATTAGGCATCATGAAGAAAACACTTAAGAAAAGCACCATGTTTTGTGTTACAAGGTTTTTCTGAGACCTATTGTTTGCAAGGTAAAGAGGCTTCCTTCAAGGTATTAAACCCAAACAAATGAGGTCTGGATCTTCTCATTTACAGAGCTGTAAACAGTCACTGTACCCATACGGACTCTAAATACAATCCTGTTCCCCATAACTGGGCATCAGCCACCAGCAAGGCAAGCTACAATAACTCTCAACAAAACACAGCTTCAGCTCAGTGGAAGATGAAGGAATCACAATCTTCTATAAAACTGCAGAATTCAAATGAGACCTTTATTTCTTTAAACAACTCCTGTAAATTACAATGATTATGCAACGGCATGTTTTCATTATTGGGTTATTTTCATACCTCTGTAGTAGAGATCCCTGAAGGGCGTATTTATGAACTCTCTGAGGTTTCCGGTCTTCTCTGCAATGTCCACCAGCAGAGGGATGGTCACATTCAGCCCACCGTAAAGGTTCAACAGCGCTTTAGGCAGACAGGTCTTACCTGTGGATGGCTCTGGTAGAAAAATGAAACACAGTACACTTTTGTATTCAAGCACACCTTCAACACTACCCATTACTCTCCAAATGTGTTGATTTGAATTACTTGTAAAATGGAAGTTGTTTTAATGTTTTTCGGTCTCTTGTCTCTTATAGTGACAGTTGGAGACTGATAGGAAAGAGGGGAGAGAGGGAGGACAACATGCAGCAAAGGGCC